ATAAAACCTAGTATGCAGGCAGGCTTTCCTTTTCTTCTCTATCACTTATTATATAAGATGCAGTGGCTGCTGTCTTGAAATCTTGCCTTGTTTACTTTTGACAAATAGTTCCCTTTGTTGCTTGATTGGTCAGATTCAGATCCAGGAGAACAATTTCCTTTGTTGGTTATTTCAACCTCTGAAGAATGTAATTATCAGGAAGGCAAAGGAAGGAGGATGGGATCTTTCCTGGGAAAGACCATTCATGCTTCCTGGGTCTCACTTTGTAGACTTGCATTCTTGAATTCAATATTACTGGAAACAGGAAATGAACTAGAATTTTTTTTTTTTAGAAAGTTAACAATGACTTCAGAAGTGTGTGTTTGTTATCAGATTTAGTGCACTTGTCATAGCTTTGGCCCAAAGCTGAGCCAAGGGAGGGACTGAAAAAAATGCCGAAGAAACTTCTTCATTGTTCTTTTTCCCTCTTAATTAGAATGTAGTTTATCTTACAGGCTCCAGAGCTTTTTGGATTTGTGGTTTCAAGCATGATGTCATTTTCCCTGCCTATATGACCATAGTATTTTTTTTTTAATTTTCAATGTTTTGTAACAAACAGAGTAATAACTGTGGAAACCTAGGTGCAGAGCTTGAGTCAGTGACAGAACGTTCCCATTACCTCTTAGTGTGGGCAGAGGATGACCCTACCTCCAATGGGTCCACCCCAAAAAGCTCTGTATTAATGAGCATAAGGTCATGGGTTCAACCTCTTTGTCAAATAGTCAGTTCCATGCTGTTCTTTGGACAGACTACACCCCTGACCTTGGTCAAACTTCTTACAAAGGAGCGCCTTTGGTCACAATGAAGCATAGTTAAAAGAGTGAATTTTCACTGTCAGGAGGATAAAAAGACTTAGATTACTAACCCTGCTGATGTATCAATCAACAAGTATTGATTTTATCCAGTAGAATGTAAGCTCTTTGAGGTCAGGGACTCTCTCTAGATCTCTTTTTTCCTTTGTATGCCTAGCACTTACCACAGTTCCTGACAGATAGCATTGAATGAATGAATGAATGAATGAATGAATGAATGAATGAATGCCTCACATAGAATCAGACATATACCATAGGGAAAACTCATTGCACCTAGGTGGCATAGTGAATAGAATGCCAGATTTGGAGTCTGGAAGATCTGAGAATGAACCCTAACTCAGACACTTAGTAGCTGTGTGACCTTGGACAAGACACTTAACTTCTCTATACTTCCACTTCCTCATCTGTAAAATGGAGATAATAATAGTATTTATCTCACAATGTTGTCATGAGAATCATGTGAGATATTAATAGGCAAAGCACTAGATAAATACCAGTTAATATTATTAAACCCTATATCCTGGGAGGGGAGAATTAATAGGGGGCTGACCCCCCTAAATAAAAAGCATTGCAAGGACATATATGAAAATCTGGATTTTAAAAAAAAAGTCAGAGAATACATTCATACCATGAGAAATTTCTCCATTTTAAAGGACTCCTTAGAAAGCTAGTAAACTTTCCTGGTACATTTAGATGTTTGCATATAACCATTCGTGGTAGAAAGAAGGGAAGAAAGGAAGACAGAGAATGGAAGAAAGAAAATATAAGTTAAAGTGTTAGAGCAACCAGTCCCTGGAATTATAATTTAAATCAATGGAAAAATAGGGAACAAATGATCAAAATTCTATTTGTATGTAACTTTTAAAAATCTTTATTCCATAAACTGCAGTATACCTTTATTGTTATTAACAATGATGAAATACCATTTGACAAGTATCAGATGTGTGTTCCTGCTAGTTATTTTCTAGATGGAATAGAAACAGAAATGGAATCATACAAAGACACTCTCAGAAGTGGGGAGGATATCAGAGGCCTTTTAGCTTTGTCCAGGCAGCTACATGGTCCAGTGGATAGAGTGGTGGATTTGTCATTAGGAAGTTCTGATTTCAAACTCAGCCTCAGACACTAGTTAGCTTTGTGACCCTAGGCAAGTCATTTAACTTTTGTCTTCCTCAGTTTCTTTTTCTGTAAAGTACAGATGATAATAGTACCTACTTCCTTGAAGGAAGTAATGTTTACAGGGCACTTTGCAAACCTTAAAGCACTATATAAATACTAGCTATTATTATTGTTATTTACTTGAACATTAATCACCTCTTCCAAAAAAAATGGTCATTCATTGTCTGCTTTATTACCTCCAGTGATAAGAAATCCATTCCCTCCTGTTCATTCCATTTGAGGACAATTCTAATTGTTACGAAGTTTTTTCCTTAAATTGAACATAATTAATGCAGCTTAAAATGTCATTAATTTTTTTTTTGAGGCAGCTGAGTAGCCCAGTGGATAGGGTGGTAAACCTGGAATCAACCATTCTTAGGCTCAAATTTAGTCTCAGACACTCAATAGCTGTATGACTCCAGGCAAGTCACATAACTGAAGTCAGCCTCAGTTTTCTTATCTGTAAAATAGGGATAATGGCACCTACCCCCCAGGGTTGTTGTGAGAATCAAATGAGATAATTTTTATAAAGGACTAGATAAATGTTACCTGTTTTTCCTAAATGCTAACTATTATTGGCTGCCATGCCACACTCTTGACTCATGTGAACCTTCAGTTCACAAAAATCTCCTAATTTTTTTAAAATTTGGATTGTTATTTAACCAAACTTCTCTCATTCTATGCTTGCCCAGTGATTTTTAAAATATATACATATATACTTATGCTCACTGTAATTATTTCAGATCCAGACTCTATCATCTAACAAGTTAGCTATCCCGCTAAGTTTTATATCATCTTGAAATTTAATCAGCATGCCATCTATACTTTTATTCATGTCATTATAAAAATATTGAACACCACAAAGCCACAGAGAGATCCCTGGGGCAATTCACTGACTGGAGTTATCACAAAGCTGACTTTGACTGATTATTCTTTTGAGCACTCTTTGGGCCAGGTCATTCAACCAGTTCCAAACCCATCTACCTATATTATATAATCCACATCTCCATTTCTAAATAAAACTATTTAATCCATATAGTTCCAGCTTGTCCAGAAGAAGAGCAGAAGACTTAATCAAATATGTTGCTGAAATCCTCATTTGGATTTCAAGTATTTATACGATATTCCTCTGACCTAAAATGTGGTCATGCTGCCAAAAATGTAAATAGGATCAGTTTGGTATGCTTTTGTCTTGCCGAAGCCATACTGACTCCTAGTGATCTTTCTTCCTCTTCTAAATGCTCACAAACCATCCCTTTCACCATACATTCTAAAATTTCATCAGGAATTCAAATGCTGTTTATCAAGCTGTTATAGTTTACAGGCTCTGTCCTCTTCCTTAAAAAAGAAAAATGGATATTTTTTTATGTCACCTAAATTTCCTTCTATATATCTCTCCTTCCTTCTCCTAGAGAACTATCCCATATAGCAAAGAGTTAGTTTTAAAGGAAGAATAGGGAAAAAATCAGCAAAATCAATTAATACATTGGGAAAAAATCCTGAAAATATGTGCAATGTTTCACACCCATGCACTTCCCCCGTCTTCAAAGGAGTTCTGAGAAGTATCTTCTCATGTATCTTCTTTGTGGGGCAGAGCCAATACCGCTGAGAAAAGGCAGGGACATGCCTGAGCTCTCCTAAATACCCCTCCAAACAACTTTAAATAATGCCTCAAAATGAATTCTGGAGCAGCAGAACTCACAAAAGGACCTTGTGAAACAAGTTTACAGCCCAAGACAACTTAGAAGGTTGGCAGGAAAGATCTGTCACACTGGGGTGAGAATGGAGCACAGGTCTGGCACAAGCTGCACCAACACAAACTGTGTCCCATAAACCCATAGCAGGCCATGGGGGTGACTGAAGCAATGGCTACAGTGACAGCCTCTGGATTTCTCAGTCCACAGATGGCAAGGGGATTGGACAACTAGTCAGAAGCAAATTGCAGGGATCCTTTTCCTAGCACTGAGTGCAGTACTCAGTTGCTTTGCCCATATTCAGATCTGAGTCACAGTTCTGGGTCACAGTCCCAGGCAAGGAGGAGCATTAGCACACCAGAGCTTGTGGCTTTAGGGGAGAGTGGACCCTGGTCACAATCCCAAGGCAGAAGAGAGTGTTCATGGTCTCTCACAGACCAGAGCAGAGGCCAGGAGAGTAGTAAGTACATTTCTCCTTAGATTGTACCACCTTGGAAGAACTGAAAATTTACAGTCCCCCCTCCCAACACACACACACACACACACCACACACACACACACACACACACACCCCTAGCTCTGAAAACTATTGCACACAAAATCAGAAGCTTGAGACAGTACCCCTTCTACCCTGGGAACAGACTCCAACTTTAACATATAAAGTTAAAAGTTAAGAAATAGGCTGGAAATAGGAGCAAACAACAACCAAGAAAAAAAAAAAAGAACCTGGCCATAGAAAATTACTATGGTGACAGGGATGGGCAAAACACAAACTCAGATGAAGACCACAAAGTAAAAATTGTTATATACAAAGAAAATGTGAATTAGTTAGGTCATGGAAGTACTCAAAAATGATTTTAAAAATCAAATAAGAGAGGTAGAGAAAAAATTGGGAAAAAATGAGAGTGATGTAAGAAAATTATGAAATAAGAGTCAATAACTTGGTAAAGGAGGCACCAAAACTGCTGAAGAAAATAATACCTTAAAAAACAGAATAGGCCAAATAGTAAAAGAGGCACAAAAGAACACTGAAGAACACTTCTAAGCAGAATTGGCCAACTGAAAAAAGATATACAAAAATTCACAGAAGGAAAAAAAAGAAACTCCTTACAAAGTAGAATTGGCCAAAATGGAAAAGGAGGTACAAAAGCTCACTGAAGAAAATAATTCCTTAAAAGTGAGAATTGGACAAGTGGAAGTTAATGACTCTATGAGACATCAAGAAATAATCATATATCTTCTTTGAAGCTATACTTGTTTTTTATGATTTTGCAACATTCATTTTCAATTGTTTTGTGGCTGTTGTCTTTTCCATTTGCATTGTTGTTGTCATCGTGTATATTGTCTGCAGGGCTTTTCTTCATTTTTGCAGTAGTTCATGTAAGAGGTAGAGAAAAAATTAGGAAAAAATGAGAGTGATGTAAGAAAATCATGAAATAAGAGTCAACAACTCGGTAAAGGAGGCACCAAAACTGCTGAAGAAAATAATACCTTAAAAAACAGAATTTTATTCAGTATTGTGTCTTTCAATAATATTCCATCATATTTGCTACCAGCTCATCCCATTCTGAGCTTTGATGTTATTCTTTATAGTAATGCACATTCCTGTAGCACTTTACAAAGCCCTTTATTGTAACCACAACCCTGTGAAGTCCACAGCTCAAGTATTCTAATCCCTACTTTACAGATAAGGAAATTGAATCTCAGAGTGGATGAATGATTTGCCTACAATCATAGGACTGGTCTTGTCTAAACAAATATTAATCTTGAACCTTAGACTTCAATCCCAAGCCCAGTCAGATTTCTCTTGGCGCTCTGCTGCTTCTCATCATGGTGTATGAAAATGACCCTATTGACCCCACTGTTGGTAGGATTCACATTGAAGTATTTTTTTTCCAAGAAAGGGAGATGAAGTAAATTAAAGCATCGGTGCTCTGTCTCATTTCTTCTTGTGGCCATTACCATGAAGATCCAATATGGTTTGGATGGTATTAGGGGTTTAGTTCATGATCATGGAATAGGGAGAAGGTTACTGATCTATATGGGGAAAATCCATGGCCATTACTTAATGAGTCTGACTCTACAACCTAGAAAGCTGTTTTATGTGCAAATACCTTCCCATTTCAAAATGATTCTAAGTGATTCCTGCTTCACAGGGCTTGCATCCTCTATCATAGGACTGGATTTGGATTTGAACTGGACTTGTCATTTTCTTGGTATGTGGCACTCCTAATGAGGAATCTCTTTTTACCAATTCAGATTGGTATCTACTCTACAACTTATGCTTTTAGAGAATTTCTTGGGACACTGTAAGGCTAATTAATTTGCCCAAAGTCACACAGCCAGTGTGTTAGAGGCAGGATTTGAGCCCAAGTCTTCCTGACTCCATGTATGGTTAGGTGATATAGTGGACAGAGCACTGTGCCTGGAGCCAGAAAGATCTGAGCTCAAATCTAGCCTCAAGACATTTACTAGCTGAGTGACCCTGGGCAAGTCACTTTATCCCTATTTGGCTCAGTTTCTCATCTGTAAGATTGAGAGACATTGGAGAAGGAAATGGCAAACCACTCCAGCATCTTTACCAAGAAAACCCCAAGACTTTGTCCATGGGATCACATCCAGTTAGACACAAAAGAACAACAACAACAAAATAAAATGATTTAGAACTTTAAAAGTACCATAGAGGTAATCTATTCCAGTGTTCTTATTCTACAGTTGAAGAAATTGAGGCCCAATGAGATGAAATAACTTCTGCAAATTCACACATGCATTAAGTGACAGAGCTGGAATTCAAATGCAGTTATTCTGATTCCAGTCAGTTCCTTTTCCACTCTACTTCAATTATGGTCAAATAACTCTTCATAAAATACTATCTATCCAGTAGGAGCTTACTAAATACATAAGTAAATGAATGAAGTGAGAAAAAGACCATTTACATACTCCAGAATTGTAATGGGCCATTTATAGCTATAGGTTACAGCAAGTATCTAAAATGGTACGTGCATTAAATAACCCTCCCATGTGAAATCTGGCCCTCCAAATATAGAAGAGTTATTGCTTATAAAAAAAAAAAGTAAGACATTGAAAACATTGGTTGAAGCCAGATGTTCTGTGGGCTGGAGCTCATTGTCCCTGCACTCCACATTCCCATAGCTGGAACTGTGTGTATTTGGGATGCTGGGACATTAGATCCTACCCACAGAATATTTTGAAATAATGTTGTTCAATTACTTAATCCTTGCTAGGCTATTGAATAGAACCCTCTCTTATGTACAGTATTATAAAAACATTATGCCTGGGACTCAGGATTGAGAATATCCAATTACAATAGTTCTTCCCCCCCCCACATTTGTATTCTTTTTATTTTATTTGATTGCTCTTAACATTTGTGAGAGGATTTATTGTTTATGACAGCAAGCAACCTGAGACTGTAAAAGAGCAAGCCTATGCTATTTCCTGCTCCCCACCCACCCACTGCCTCACTAGTCCACCTCCATCCTGCCTTCCAACACTCTCATTATCCCAGGGCAGGTTTTTCTTGGAGTAAGGACTGCCAGAGGGGCACTGTACTGCAGGAAATTGTCCATTGGTGGACAATGATCACTTCCCCTTCTGAGCCCCCCAAAATTGATAGCTTAACTTACAAATATGCTCATTCCTCATGCGTCCTGCCAAATGGAGGAAAGTGGGAGACCTGTGATTCTTTAGTTCATAGAGCACTGGCCTAACTGTAGTGGTTTAACCAGACAGGCCTGGGATGTCTCACTTTTGTCTCTCTTTATCACCCAACCAGAACTTCCAGTTTGGAGTTAGATGCAAGTAGGGTTTGGCAGGGTTGGCAAGCCTCTATTCTGGCCAACCTGATCGACTGCTGCAAAGTGGGAGCTGAATTCATGGCCATATCCTATTTATGCTAAGTCAGGATGATCAAGAGTCAGGGCAGATATGGGCAGGATCAATGGGCTTCTTCCCCTTGAGTATGCCCTAGAGACCTGACCATGCTAGAGCTTCCCTCCACCCTTCTCTTCAGATTATAGGATCATAGATTCAGATCTGGAAGGAGACTTAGAAGTGATCTAGCCCTCCCCACTATTTATAGACAAGGGCACTGAAGCCAGAGAAGTTCAGTGACTGGTCATACAACTAGACTATGTTAATCAGTCAATAAATATTTATAAGCACCTACTGTATGCTGGTCCTTGTGCTAAGATACAAAGAAAGGTAATAATAATAATAGCAATTAACATTTACAGTTCTTACTATGTGCCAGGCACTGCATTAAATGCTTTATAATTATTGCATTTGATCCTCACAACTCTGGGAGCTAAGTGCTATTATCCCCATTCTACAGATGAGGAAACTGAAGCAAACAGAGGTTAAGTGATGTGCCCAGGGTCAAAGAGCTAGTGAATATCTGAGGCCAGAGTGTCTAGGTCTTACTGACTCCAGGCCTGGCTCTCCATCTACTCTGCCACCTGGTAAAAGACAGACCCTGCTTTCAGGGAGTTCACAATCTAATGGTGGAAGACAACCCCTAAAAGGAAGCCAGAAGGTTGGGGGTGTAGGGTGTGGAAAGAGGTACATGGCACAGGGACGCAATGAAAGTCTAGAGGAGAAAGCCTGGGTGAGAAATGATAAGACAGCTGCCCTGTACATCTTCCTTAAATTGGGGCCTTGGGAGGAGCTCTCCAGTCACCCTTCACCCTCTCCAATCAGAAGGAGGGACGAACCCCAGGGCAGTGGATACTGAGGGGATGAGTTTCAGAGCTGATATTATCTTGTGAGGATGAGATTCCTGAAGGCATGACGAAAGTCCTAAGGAGTTCTATTTTCAGCTCTGACGCTGCCTTCCCAGAGCACTTCTGATTGTCACTGAACCCAACTGAGCCTCAGTCTTCTCCTTTCAGAATGGGAGTACTTTCTTCAAAAATTTCAAATGAGCTGAGCCATTTTTATGGTCAGAGATGAAACAATTAATATGGTAAGTGGGTAGAGTCAGGAAGATCTAGGTCTGACCCACACCTCAGAAACTTCCTGCCTTAGGCAAGTCACTTATCCCTTCTGGGCCTCAGTTTCCTTATCTGTAAAAATAGAAAGTCATACTCAATGATTTCTAAAGGTCCTGTGGAGCCCTAAAATAAAGTTTAAAAACTATGTCACTAGAGAAACTAAAAATATAGGTTATCAAATATTTTTATTAAAAGACAAGGTTAGGAGGGCTACTGGGGAAAACTATGGTGATGAAAAAAAACAAAAGACATCAATAAAAACTCATTTTAAAAAAATAAAACAAAAATAGATAAAGCTACCTCTGATGTTTTTGATTTGGTTAGAGTTGGGGGTGAGGCTAAAGGGAAGGGAAAAAGCAGGACTTTTTTTTTTTCTAGTGAATAGAGCAATAGAAACAGAATTCTTCTGGAAGCCAATTGACAATCTCTGTGGGCAGGTACCAGAGAAGAGACCTTATTTTCCTGACCTAGGAATTGACTTCATTACTAACGGGTATTTGAACTGTGCACCAAACAGTGAACAAAAGCCCCTGTCTAATCATTCAAAATGCAGGTCCAGAAAATTGTTCCCTAAAATTGAAGGGAGCCCTCAACTCATCTCCAGGGAACTTAGGAATCATATTTCCATAGGCAGTATGCTACGGCTGAGCTACATGCCCCAGTCTTCCTCCGGTCTCTCCATCACTCCTATTTTTCATTTTACTCTCCATACATAAGATGTTGTCCTGTTGTACAAAAGGAGTGCATTTACAACTGAAATTACCAAAGCGCCCCATTATGTTTATCAAGGTAAGAGAAGAAAAAGCCTACCATGAGTTCCAGCCTTCTGCAGAGCAGGGTGCCTATAATGGAAGGCTACCGATTCTTTTTTTTTCTTTCCAATTCCCTTGAAAAAGAATTGCATATATGAATAGCCCTTCATGATGTGCTTTCAGAAATAGGTTGTTTCAGTGGAACAAAAGAGCATTCCAGAGCAGTCAGTTTTCCAAACATCTTCATGGTAGGTTCCACTCTCTGCCCTCCCATTCTCTATGCTCCTTTCTCACAGCGGAGGACACAATGGAGATTGGATCATAGATTTAAAGCCAGAAGGTGAAATTGAGCCTAATCCTCTCATTTTATGAATGATGAAACTGCCTCCCAAGGAGATGAAGTAACTTAAGATATTAGAGGAAGAACTGAAAGAGGGGTCAAAGACCTTTCCAAACCCTACAGAAGTTAAGTCACTTGCTAAAAGTCACGTAGGTAGAAAGGGGCATAGGCAGCTGAACAACAGTAAGTGGAAGGAGGGGAGGGGAAAGGAACTGGAGGACTCTTCCCGTAGGTGAAGCCACAGTCACAGGAGGGAA